CCTATGCCCCCCCCCTGGCTACGCCCCTGCAAAGCTCAGTAAAAATGAAATCAAAACCAACATCCAGTAGCATTTAAGTCATGACCGGAACTAAAAACCAACATCCAGTGACATTTAAGTCATGTCTATATTTGAAAACATCCAGTGACATTTAAGTCATGTTTTGAAAACCAACATCCAGTAGCGCTTTAGTCATGTCCCAGAAAAATAAAAATATGAACGCCTACATTATCATAACAGCTAGCGAATGCAAAAAACCAGAAATCTCGATTAGTAAGTACTTCCAGTTCCGAGTTTTCGAAACAGCCAGCCAACCCAGACAGCCAAAGTTGACCTTTAAGCCGAAGAGTGCTTAGAAAAATGTGGTAAAAATAAGTAAAACTGTTTGAAATTGTAAAAAAATAAAAATAAATTTAATTTTGTAAGTATTAAATTAAATTTAAATTTAAAAAACCTTTACTTTTTTGAAATTTAAAAGTATTAATCATTTTTTCAAAAAATAAATCAAATTTTATTTTTTTTTTGATTTTTTAAATATTTTTTAAATTTTAAAACTAATATTCCAATATTTTTCACTTCAATTTTAATTTTAATTTGTAAAATAATTTTTTAATAATTTTGAAAAATATAAAAAATGTTAAAAAATGTTAAAAATGTTAAAAAGTTAATAACTTCAATTAAAATCCAAAATAATCATCAAAATGAATCAACAGAAAAAAAGACAAATAAAATAAAGTTTTTAAAATCTCAAAAATCGTTTTGTTCACAAATTTCATGTTAATCTGCTGCGGCTGCTATGAATCATAAAATAAATTGTAACTGAATATTTATATACAACATTTTCAGTTCCACATAAGTGTCGAACACAAGCAAGTCGACTCGAATAAGCACAGCACAGCCGTGTGTATACAAACAATAATCATTATACGAGAAAAAAGAAAAGAAAGAATGAGAGACTGACTCTGAACGATGTACGGTTCGAGTATATACGAACAAACTCACAGAAGTGTATTTCTTCATTTTTATGTATGCTACCCAAGCGAGTATTTATAGTCGATTCATTTATTATACTTTTTTTTTGGTGTGCTGCTTCTGCTGTTGTTTCTTTTGCTTTTGAGCTTACATTTTTTTTCCATTGAATTTGGGGTGGCTTGGGATGATCGCTGGGTGACTTTTTTGTCATTCAATGTCCTCAGCTGGATACTTTTGGGGTTATGTTAAGAAAAATGAAGGATTTGGAGTTTGATTGGCGTAGATTAGGGACAGGCATGATCTTACTGGATGTAGAAATTTGCTGAACTTGCTAAGGGGCCGTTTACTTATGACGTCAAACATTTATGGGGGGGGGGGGGTCTAGGATTTTGTGACAGCTCAAATAAATGAATTTTTTTTCTACAGAAATTTTGTGACAAAGGGGGGGGGGGGGTCTAGAAAACATGTTTTTTTATGGACGTCATAAGTGAATGGCCCTTAAGGGATCATTCATAAATTATAGCATTAAGTGTTGAAGTTTTCAAACGACTCAAACAAATAAAACTGTACTTTTTACAAACTTTGCAAATGGTTTGTAGATCGACGTCATTTATGAAGAGCTCCTTAGGGGTCGTTCATTTATGACGTCTGAGATTTAGGAGAGAGAATCTAGGAATTTAAGACAGCTCACACGATGGAATTTTTTTCCACATAAATTTTGTGATTAAAGGGTCTGAAAATCATGATTGCTGATGGACTTTCGGCGCGTAACCATAAAGATAAGGTGGGGGGCGAGGGGGATTTGGGGTATAAATCCCCCGAAGTTACCAGAAATTTCTTCATTTTGCTAAGAGTTTCATGAAAAAAATCATAAAAATCTCCCCTTCCCCCTGAATTTTCTATATAAATTTCCCCCCCCCCCCCCCCTCTTTAAATTCCTGGCTTCGCCTCTGATGGACGTCATGTATGAATGATCCCAAGTGAAGGTGGTACATAGAAAAGCAAAGGTGCCGAAGGTTTTTTGTTTAATAAAATATTTTTTTTTGGAAACTTTTATCAATGTCAAGTAGACCCACTCCCCACTCATCTCTTCGTTTAATTCTCAAGTTTTCTATCAGCCAAACTAAAGAGCTAGGACTAGCTTCTAGATGGCTAATCCAAAGCTTTATTCAGAGAGTTAAATGTAAACTGTGTTGGAATAAAATGGTTCAGATTCTGCCTATGAATTAAAGGTCGACTTAAAATGGATATCAGGGGGAAGTGGGAAGGGAAGCATCAGCTTGGGGTCTAATGCAGTGTTTCTCAAACTTATTGGGAGTATTTAAATAGGAGTAAGCAAAGATTACAACCACAATTGATGCATCTAGAATTTTTTTCACTGAACAGTAAAGCATCGCGGACCATAGTTTGAGAAACACTGGTTTAAAGAGAATGCTACAGTAAATTCTATCCTAATTGAACCTCATTGCCTCCAACTCAAAAGGTTGAGCTTGATCCACGACTTATCCACAAAGTAAAGTTTCTAAAGAAGCTCAAGAAAATGAAATTCTTAAAAAATGCGCATTAGTCCCTCAAGTACCAAACAGTGCCTAACCATACTTGCCCTTATATACCAAAAAAAAGAACCTCAAGCAAAAAAAAATTAATGAAAATCATCAACAACAGCAATAAAAAGCACACGAAAAACTCAATTCCAACAACGCAAAAAGACATAAAATAATCATGAAGCATGCCAGCATTTTTTTTTTTAAAAATCATCCTCAACAACATGCGGAATTTTTCTATTCAGAAAAATAAATATCAAATAACACTTTGTGTACGGCATGCATGAAAAAAGGTCCACGATCGCGAAACGTCGCAGAAAAAGCAGCAAAAATTTTCAAACGTTTTTCTTTTCAATATAATTTTTTCTGTATAAAGCAGCAGCAAGCAAGCAGCGACAGCACGAAAAAATTGAGAGAAAATCGATGAGGCAAAAATATAAAAAAATAAAAAAATTTCACATCGTTCCACATTTGTGTCGCTCTCTGCTTGTGTATTGCTCCCAATTTTATATTCAATTCTATACAATTGAGTTTGATATTTTTCAGTCAATTTTCAACTAACACAACTACATGACGCTGTATAGACTCTTATGTACGGGTGCACGATGATGATGTGAAACGATATTGAACGTGGGAAAGGGAACGTAAAAGTGCTTGTGCTGTTCTATACAACATCCTCTGCTGTGTATAATTTTGTACGTTGTATGAGGGCATTTGACATTGGAATGGGAATTAATGGATGGGATGTGATGTAACGGTTTTTAAATATTTGAATTTATTGTTGTCGATTTTTTTGAGTTTTAATTTTTTAAAGCCGTTAATTTGAATTTTGAAGTCTGACTTCATTTATAATGCAAAACTCATGACTCATCTTCATTTTATTACAAACATGTGATTTGATCTTCTCGATTCTCTGTTTTTGTTTATTTATGCCACAGCTTAGTATGGAAAATTATCAGAAATCCAGTTTTGCAATGAAAATAATTTATTTTGTAAACAACTCGATTCCAGCGAATTCCTTTTTTTATAATTTAATTGGGGGAATCTGATGAGATTTTTGAGCCATTGATAGCTAATTTAAGGTTCATTTTGAATTGAAAGGCAATGTTATGAAGGTACAACTAAGAAAAGGTGGCTTAAGTAAGGCTATCCAGTGTTCTTTTGCTTATTTGTGGTCTAAAGCCTGTTCATGTCCCGATTTCAGTTTAAAAAATTACAGAAGTTCTCGTGTTATTGATCGAGGGACTTAAGCGCATTTTTGTGTTAGCGTTCAGTATTTGCTTATAGTATTTTTTGCATTGAATTTCCATGTAGAAAAAGTTTATCATTTAACGGTTTTTGGAAATTCAAATTTTACAACGACTAGAAAAAATTTAAAATTTTTTTTATTGTTGAAATTATAGAGGTTAAATAAAATTTAACCAGGTTACACTGAAAACAAAATAAAAAATCATTAATTATAGTATAAATACACTGTTTGAAGACTTTTAACCATTCGATGAACCAATAAATAGATAGTAACGGAGCTAATAAAACAAACGCGAGCTCTCTACCATGTCTGGTTAAAAAGTTTATCTACGCCCGAGCAGCCGAACAAAGCGTATTACTAAGCTACATTTTAGAAACAAGTTTCAAAAATGCACTAAAAAGCAAGAAAGACTCAATTTTGAAGCATTTTCCAAGAAAAATTAAATTCAAAAAAGCTTGACTGTCTCGTTAAAAAATGTGTCGTTGGACATGCTAGGCTTTATTGACAGCCAATTACGTAGCTAAACTAGATGCAACAGAAATTAAAAACAATACAAAAATCTAAGCAAATGCACTTGTAGGTTTCTTGTTATTTTGGAGTAGATGGCTCACCCGAATAGTACAAGTCGATCAATTGAAGCAGGAATCAAGCTGTTAGAACTCTGGCTTCGTGTTGAACTCAAACCAAATCCAAATCAAAGCCAGCACCATGCCAGAGTTACGCCAGCTCAATCCCGGATCTGAATTTTACTAACCGACTAATGCTTTTCGGGTAATTCTTTATTCTGATTTTGAATGCTCAATTGATGACAAGAGTGTCATATAGAGTTTGTGGAGTTTTAGGGGTTATTCAGGAGACTTAAGTTATCATTTTGTTTCGATGCCACCATGCTTGCTTTTATTGACCGTATTTCATACTTATCAGCTTTGATATCCCCAGCAATCCAAGATTATCGTTTGTAAACCAATAAAGACACACAGTTAAGGCACAAAACCAGTTTGGTTCCAGAATTCTCAAACCAACTACCACAAAACCACTCAAATGATGAAAATAACCCTCACAACGTCCTCAAAATATCCCCAAAAAAAGACACTCCAAGCAGTGCACATGCTCACCACTCGAACGCACATACACACAAAAACAGAGGAGAAAAGAAAAGAGAATAAAAGAATAAAAATTGATGACGTAATTTGTGTTGAGAAAAGCATAGAATTTCCTTTCAACGTTCTCAGTTCGCGCTCGTCCGTTGTTTGTGAAAGTTCTCAGATCTTTTCTGTAGTCGAGAATTTCGAGGAATTGAGGAGCAAAAAAAAGTGATTATTTTAAATTTATTTTTTTCACGGAATTTCAAAGAAAAAGTTTACGTGGAGAAATTTGTGAGGTAAAGTTTGCTGGAAGTGCTGACAAAATTTTTGCGTAAGCATTTTGGTGATGAAAAAAAAGGAAGTCAAAAGCCATAAAAAAAATTATGTAACCTTCAGGACACAAATCGAATTATTGATGAAAAAAAAAATTCTCTTTGTGGATTTTTCAAGAAAAAAAATTATTAAATTAAGTGACCCAAAAAAAGAATCTTTTAAGGAACCAGAAAGGTAAAAAATAATAAATTTTTTGTGGAGCAAAAGCAGAAAAAAAGGAGGAAAAATTTTCCTTCAAAATTGCATAATCGCAGTTCCTCTCCTTTAGTCGAGCTTTTTTCTTTTACAAAGCATTTTTATGTACAATAAAAAAAATTTGTTCAGCATGAGGTGAAGGAATTTCGACATTGTGATTACATCACACTAGGATTTGCCTTTTGAGTATGGATGTTTGGCACTACGGCTTGGATCAATAATAATTTTGAATAATTCAGAAATTAAACTTCTTTGACCAACTTTTTTTTTGGGGATATCCCTTTTGGTTATATCACAAAGAAATAATTGAAAATTCCTGATTTAAGGTTAAACATCGGATGTCTAAAACAAGACAAAGCTTCAAATTTGAATAATTCAAGGACTTTTTCAGGGATTCTCGACCTACTCATTAGAATTTGTTGTTAATTCGACTTAATCTTAGCAATATGAAGCAAACTAAGCATTCAAAACCAGAGCTCGAGGAAGATTTTTATCGATTTTGTATGGTGGAATCAAGGCGTGAAAACTAATCTAAATATCTCATTTATCCCAAATATCCCAAAAATATCCAAAATAATCCTTGAGCCTGCATGCATTAAAATTAAGATATCCCAGCGAATCCCAAGATTAAATGTCCAATACACTAAGGATTCGTTTGGATATCTTTATTATCGTGCATACAGTCTCAGGGATTATTTTGGATATTTTTGGGATATTTGAGATAAATGGAATATTTGGGATAGTTTCCACTTCTGGGATGAAATCGACTCTACTTCATCCAAAATTTCGTCGACTCTGAGCTCAGTTCAAAACCAAGCTTTGAATCTCTAAACCAGCGTTGTCACACCTTTGGACCATGACACACTGGTGCAGTGTTGTTTAAACTTTTTGAACAACGGCTCACTTTAAAGATAAGCCATGGCCGAACAGCATACGACTCGTGTCATTTTCAAAAAAGTTCTACGACACACTGGTATGCCGTGGCACTCAGATTTTGCAACACTGCTCTAGTGTGTTACAAAATTCCAGAAAAAAAACAGCACAATTCAGAAAAAGCCTTAAAACTCATGTTATGTACGGTTTTGGTCATGGCCTACAATCGATGGGCCATAGCACAACATAGTTTTGACAACACTGGTTCCTAAGATTTCCATGGTTTATGTCGCTTCAATCTTTTTCCTTTTGCCATGACTGAACCTCAAATCATTTGACTTGCACCATTTGACTTAACTTTTAAGCACCACAACCCCCATCAAGGCTCTCCATAAGACATAAAATCAAGAAATTCTTCACAATTTTTCACTCAAAAATAAAAATTTCAGATGCAGTTTCATAACTGAACTTTTTATTGATCCAAAAGACTATCTAGACCTCGATTGTTATGAAACATTATTTTTTTAAAAAAGTATAAAAATTCTATAATTTTTTTTTTCATGAAGCAGTGCAATTCTAAACTGCTAGCTTACTCATATGCTTATCATTGACACAATAATCTTTAAAATTTAATGAATGCATTCACTTTGTGCTATTTTTTTAATGCTTTGATTTGAGTGGTCGAGCATTTCATAATCATTAATTTTTCAGTTGTATAATTTTTGGGATTTTTAAAAATTGATTTAAGTTCGGAGCTTGATTTTGTATGGCGCAGTCGAATCTGAATCAACTCGACTCCTACAAAATTTCATCGACTTCGAGCTCTAGAATCGTTCATAAATGACGTCTAAAATTTAAAATTTTGAGATTTTTTAAAAAGTTTGAAAGTTTTAATCAGGCGCGTAACGAGGGGGGGGGGGGGGATTTGGGGGACAAATCCCCCGACTTAATTAGAAATTTCCTTCATTTTGCTAGGAGTTTTATTAAAAAATCATAAAAATTCCCCGATTCCCTCTGAATTTTTGACATAAATTTTTTTTGCCCCCCCCCCCCCCCCCCCCAACCCCTTATCTTCAAATTCCTGGCTACGCCCCTGGTTTTCATTAACCCATGCACTCAGACGGCACACAAATGTGGCTCAAAGATGGCATGAACGCAGCTCCACGCAGGTATTTCACCAATTTTCATCCAAATTTATTGAATTTCCACCAAAAAAGCATTAAAAAAATCAGTGACGAAACTCGGTGCTCTCTTATTGCATGTAAAATGCAATTTATGAAAATATAAAAAAATAGAATATTTAGAAGCCTTTCTAGGCCAGATGTTGTTGTTGTTGCTGCCATGCAAAATTTATGAGTTTGTTCAAACTATTTAATTAATGGGTTGCTCGCAGCAGATGACGCAATGAGCAGAAGGTTCATAAAGTAGAGAGGGATTCAAGGAGAATTGAGTCAATAAACTGGTTGCGAATCTTTTTTTTTGTGTGAGATTTGCATACAGGTTTTGGCTGGAGTGGCTAGGGTCAATGAATTAAATATTCTCTTTTTAGTTGTTGGAAGTATGTGCAAAAGAATATGAAAAATTATCTGATTTAAAGTGGTCAAGACACACATTGTGGTCATACTTGAATTTAATTATCTTTGGATTGAAGGTTTTTTGGATAGAATTGATGGCTTAGGTGAGGTTCGGGTACATCATAAGTATCTGGTAGGTGTCCAAAAGTTGTAACAAACAAAAAATAAATCCAGATCAAAAAATTAACGTAAATTCCACTTTAAGGAGCAAAAACAGTCCAGTGCTGTTCAAACTTAGTACCACGGCACTAGAAATTTGCTGAAAAAGTTTGAAAATCATTGATAATATTAATTCACCAGTTTTGAGGTTATTATTGGTCCGAAAGACACACAGCATAACCGAAAGCACCATCCCAAATTTGGTGAAATCTGATGTGGTGCTGCGTTCATGCTGTCCTGGACACCCGATTTATGGCCATTTTTACATTGTGTGCCTTTCTGAAGGTTTTTAAAGTCAGATGACTATAAGTTGGCAATAGAAACCAGTTCCTGCACTCCTTATGTCTGTTCCACACAGGAACTCTCATACTGTGCCCTATATTCATCTAAACCAGTAGTGGACAACCTTTTTTGAAATATTTAACACCTTGGTGGTAAGCCATGACCAAAATCACACATCACACACTGTTCACAGGCTTTCTCGAAGTTTTTCATGCCACTAGTGGTCCGCGTCATATAGATTAACCATCACTAATCCTAAACCAGTGATGGCTAACCTTTGTTCCACGATAAAATGTTTAAATTTCAATAAAACGAATAAAGCGCTTAGTTTAAGTCATGCCTTACCAAAAAAGTGAGCCATACTACAAAAAAGGTTGCCCACCACTGGTTTAAACTCCCATATTTTAATTGCTAATTATCAAAAGTGCAAAAACCTTCCTCAGTTAGCTAATTCTCTTTATATCCAACACAAATATTGAATCCTTTCACATCCGACACTCGATAGTCATAACAAAACATAACAGCCAATCCTCATCCATTCTAAACTATAAACATAATTTTTACAAAATTGACTGCATAACAGTTGCTAATTAAATCATCAACTTTGACTTGTTTTACTGCACAAACAGCACCTCATCGATTGACTAATTGATAAATAATTGCAATATGACTTAAAAAAACAAAATTGCACCAATTATTGATTCTATTTCATTAACTTTTTTATGTCGCTCATGATTTGTACCGTTAATAAAAAAAAAATAGTTTTTATTCATCTCTCGTCTCACAGCGACTTTGTTTATTGAAGGATTTTTGTGTGTTTGCTTGCGAATGTGATTATGGAAGATTTGTTGACATGCTGAGGCATCGCAGATATTAAACTGTTTGTAATTGGCACTGAGTAAATAAAGTTGATAGCTTTGATTTAGTTTTATGTTGTGAGGAATCTTTTTATTAGGATTTAATGGATCTTTGGAGATTTATGAGAGATTTTGGGGAAGCTTAGTAAGATTTTTTAAAACTGGGTCGTTTTTGCCAAATTTGTTGAGTTTTTTTAAAAGATTGTAAAATTTTGGGGAGTTTAGTGAGCTTTTGAGGCGTTTGGTGATTTATTGAGGGGTTTGGTGAGTTTTTGAGGGGTGTGGTGAGTTTTTGAGGGGTTTGGTGATTTTTTTGAAGAATTTGGTGAGTTGTTGCGGGGTTTGGTGAGTTCTTTAAGGGTTTGGTGAGTTCTTCAGGAGCTTTCTTGAGTTTTACAGTTTTTATCATCTGTTGACCCCCTCAAAACCCTCAATAACCTCCAATTTAATTAATGACATCCAAAATCTATGCACACATATCAAAAAGAATTTCATTAACAAGGCTGTGTATCAGTTTACTGCCATTCAGCATAAATAATCCATTGATACTCTTTAAAGCAGTAAACAAAAGTGCACACAAAGCTATTAAAATTTCAAACATGTGCCTTTATTTTTTACATTCGTAAACAAAGTTGATTCTTGACTTTTTAAAAATGTTAAAAGCAAAATTGGAATCGTTATTCAATGCAGACATTCAAACCAGCTTCGGATCAAATGGAAAATTTTCATTGATTTTTTTCTGAGAATTTTTAGTTTAGCTGTGCTTGCTATCTCAATTGGTCCTTAAAATTCAAGCCATAAGTTTTTTGTGCTTACAAGCTATCGACAGAATTCTAAAAACCTTCAAAATACCAAAAATAATCAGCCACAAAACAAGTTCCACTCAAAAAATTCCCAAATAATCACAAGTGTCCCGTCCATTACGTCACAAATCCAATAATCAGCAAAAAAAAGTGACTCCAACAGCAATTAAGACCCAAAAAGAAAAAAAAAAATATTCTGCTCACATAACCATTGCAGAACTGACGTCATCGATCCAAAAGAGAATTTCTCTCAATTTTTCTGTGCTGCGCTCTTCTCAATTCTTCTTGACTTCCTTTACCTCATTTAAAAATCATCAATTGCCGTCATAAAGTGGTGGTTAAAAAATAGTAAAAAAGATTCAGTTCTGTTGCGATATCATAATAATGTTGATGATAATGATGATGTTCATAACCATTTAAAGTATTAATGAGACATTGAGTCGAGTCGATGAGACATGAAGGAACATGAAGGAAAAGTTTGAGAGAATTAAATTAAATAATTTATGGGAAATTGTGAGGAAAAAGCGACCGATTATTGGGTATTGGGAATTAGGGATTTGAGATGATGCCTTTTGTGGATTATTGAAGGATAATGAGGATGACAAAGTAAGGTATTAGAAGTTTGGGGGTGGGTTTTGTTTTAGAGATTATAAATTGACGAGGGGCCGTTCACGTATGACGTCCGACATTTAGGGGGGAGGAGGGTCTAGGATTTTGTGACAGTTCAAACAATCGAAATTTTTTTCTATAAAATTTGTGACAGAGGGGGGAGGGGGGTCTAAAAATATGATTTGTTGATAGACGTCATAAGTGAACGACCCCTTAGAAGAAACCTTGTTACATAATGACTGACAACTATATCCGCTCTGCAGCCAATTTAGAGAATTCAAAGAAGAAAGGGCGTACAATTATTAGAAAAGGGGCGGGGGGGGGGTAGGTTTATTGAAAAATTGAGGGGGTTTCGGATTTTTTTTTCTTGAAAAACCCTAGCAAACTTAAGAAATTTCTCTTAAAGAAGGAAAACTTGATCCCCAAATCCCTACTCTAAGTTGCGTAGCCGGGGGAGGAAGGGGGGATTTTTGCGACAAGTCCCCCTACTTTAATGGAAATCTCTCCATTTTGCTAGAGTTTTTATGAAAAGGGAGGCTATGAATCACAATTGATCTGTAAAGCCAGCTATGTATGTATGTATGTTTTATGAATCCTCACTTTTCATATTCCTGGCTACACCCCTACCCACCCTACTCAGCCATACCCACCCACCCATCCTCACACAATAAGCAACATCCCCATCTCATTACTTCCTAACATCCTTGAAGCAAAACTCAATAATTACCAACCTAAAGTAAGGAAACAGTGACGAAAGCAGATGCATGCTTAACCATGCACGAATATCATTAAAAGTAGATGAAAAAGATATTAAAAAGGAACTTGACATGTCTCATAAGCAATTGTCTTTTTTCCTCTGCATGTGTCATCACTTCAACCTTAATGTTGCTAGATTTTTCACATTTTTCAAGGATGCGAGTGATGGAATGAAGCTGTTGGTTGCTAGGAGCTAGTTTCTTGTACATTATTGGCTTTATCAAGGACATAGGAATTTTATCATAGATGGCTTGGGATGGTACGACAGATCATCGATCGCAGTGCCGTTTTTGCTCTAAGCAAAACCCTACATTACATTCTATCTATCTAGGATCCTGTACTTGGTAGCTAGTAGCTAGTAGCTAGCTAGTAGCTAGTAGCTAGTAGTACCTAGTACCTAGTAGTACCTAGTAGTAGCTAGAAGCTAGTAGTAGCTAATAGATAGAAGCTAGTAGTAGCTAAAAGCTAGGAGCTAGGAGCAAAGTTGAAAATTGCTGTTGAATAAAATTAGTATCCAGAAGATCTTTGATTTGATCTAATAAGGATTAAACTAGTTTCAAATACTTGTCCTTAGGCGCTGTTAAAAAAAAACAAAAACCTCCTTAGTAGGTTTACAGAATTGATGATTTCAATAATTCCAACTAAAATTAATTTTTACAATCAACAATTTTCAAAGAAAACTCCTCAAATAAATCCCAAAAATCACTCTACATTGTATCATAATGACTCGCATATTTTAACTTCTTATTATAAACAACTCAATTTACATTGTGCAAAAAAAATCTCATTTTTAATATTTTCAACGCATTTGTTGTTCGCATCTTCTTCACAATTTTTATTTTATTTCTATGTTATTATGTAAATTGCACATTTTGCAGTCACTCATTTTTTTCATGAATGAAGACGATGCGCAAGTGCACCTGACTCGAAAAATATGAAGCACTGCAATCACAATTATCTTCTTGTTCTCTTCTCGTGCATAATGCCAGTTGTTTATTTGCATCTTTTGCTGATCAGAGATTTTTTTTTCAGCTTGTGAATATTATTTATGATGCAGACGTGCATCATGTGGAGGGAAAATAAGTATGAAAAATTATACAGAAATTTTTGAAATTATATTTTTTAATGAGAGTTGCGTTTGAATTGCAAGGGATGGTCAATTGGTGGGGAGCATTTAACATTGATGGGGATTGATGAGTCCTATTGAACTTTTATTGATTTGAAATGGCTTCATAGGTTTATTTTTGGACTTATTACAATAAGAGCAGGTTTTAACCCGGTTTAGCTACCTTAGTAACAGTCAATTCTATGCTAACAACCTGAATAACCTTAAAATCCAACTGTACGTACATATGTTGATGCTATCAATATCAGAACACCTATTTTAGGTTCATCCAAGGCCTAAGCTACCACCTTACTCTAGCTGCTTCTTTGAATTCATGCCAAATGAAAATTTGTCCATAAATTGCCATTAAATCTGAGATTGCAGCCCTGATTTTCCCCCAAAATGAATCCAGAAGCTACCTGCTGCCCATCTCATTCCAGGGGCGTAGCTTAGGGGGGTGGATTTTGAAGACAAATCCCCCAACGTAAATTGAAATTTCTTTATTTTGCTAGGGTTTTTAGAAAAATTTCCCCCCCCCCCCCCCCCTTAAATTTTCCATACAAAAAATTTTTTGTGCCCGCCTCTTTAAATTCCTGGCTACGCCCCTGTCACATCCTATCCACAACAACGCAATTACACAAACTATTTTCCTCAATTTTTTTATTTCTTATTTATTTTATTAATAACAATTTTTTTTCTGTAATATGTTCACATGTGTTATTCTTAGCATCCGACAATGACGTTCATGATGATTGAAACTAATTAATTTTTTATGTCGTATTTTTTCATCGCGATTGCTTTTCGCCTTGATGATTTTTTGTGTTTCGGGAGCACAGATGGAAGTGTAGTGAAAGTAATTGCTTGATGTGATGCTATGAGATTGATTTTTGAGAGGTTTTTTTTTTGCTTTTTCATGTAATTGGATGTTAATTAGAATTAAACAAAATTTCGTATCATTTCGCGTAGTTGTGTACCCTCGCAATTTTCAAAAACTTTTAAAATCTTTTGTAATCCTAAAATTGTAAGTAAATAAGAAAAAAATAAAGAATTATAAAACCAAAAGCTATTCAAAAGTTATAAAAAATTAAGCGTAGTTTCACACCCCTCAATTTTTTTTAAACCTGATTTTCAACAAAATCTCTATTGTCAGCAAATCTTTTTGACAGACCATTTCTTACACCAGAAGATAATAAATTTTTTTTAGAATTCAGCTTAGTTGCACACCCCGAATTTTTAAAAAATATCTTAGTTTTAACCTTAATTTTTCATATCTTCCAAAACAAGTAAATTAATGCTTCTAAATTAGATATTGATAATATTCAATGTATTTCTGCGTAGTTGCACACCCCTGAAATCTTTTAAAAAGTCATTTAAATTAGCTTGAATCTAAATTTGCATCAAATTAATTGAATAAATCTAAAAGAATCCATGAAAATTTTATAAACCTTGCAGCATAACAAGCAAAAACAAGAGATCTTCTCTCAATGCTTTCCATGACCTAACCCAATAGGATGAATCTTGTTTTACCACATGCGAGACAACTCAGTGAAATTGAAGGTCAAAATAATTTTTTTTTTATTGTACAAACGTGAATAATTTCTAGCTTGTGAGGGGATTTTTCTTTAGATTTTTGAATTCTTTGATGTCTGACTGGCTGGATGTGAAGTTTCAAGCTGCGATTTGTTTGGAATTCTTTTGGATGATTTGATTTTTGTGAATAGATGCAATAAATTATATTTTGTGGATATAAATCATTATTTGTTTGGAAATTGTGAACATTTTTAGCTGATGCTGGCTATTCTGGACTTTTTGGCATTCTAAAGTAATAATTTATGGGATATCAGTGCTTATTTGAGCTGTGACGTCAACAATTCAACAAACTGATGAAAAGTCATAATAATTTCATCGAAAAAATCAATTAATTCCCACAATTCCAGCCGTCTATCTTCCCAAACCCCCTTCAAACTCCTCAAAACTCATAATCAATATTTCCTTCCCCCATAATCATCAATTCAAACCAGCACATGACCCACATATAATCACATTTTCAATTCTAATCCACAGTCAAAGTGAGAGCTTTAATTTCCGTATTTTGTGTGCATTTGTGACACAATCAAGTCACTAAGAACTGATATTACATAATTTTCCTTCCGTATTGTCATGTTATGTCATTTAATGGACGTGTAGATTGCATTATCGATGTTGTCATTAGTTCTTAATGCATTAATGATTGACGAAGGAGCTTTTGTGGATTGGATTTTGGGAAATTATTTGAGGTTATGTTATTGGGGATTGGATTGAGGCTCTAAAGGATTAGAGACTGTCAGATCATGATTATTCTTAATAAAAGTATTGATTATAAACTGAAAAGTCAGTTATGTAAGTGTAAACTAGTGTTGGACAACCTTTTTTGTGCCACGGCACATCTTGGTGGAAAGTCATGACTCAAACCCCACACGGCACATGTTTCGTAGGTTTTTTCGAAGAACATTAGTGTGCCGCGGCACATAGATTGGCCAGCACTGCTTTAGACAAAATCAGATATTGTCTCCATGATTGAGCTCAGTCAACTCTAAGATAAACCGTGGAACAGGCTTTGACTTCTTCTTCAATTATCATCACAAAAAAGTTTAAAATTTGCCAGAAAATCATCAAAATTCTTCAAAATCAAAACTAATCAATTTCTTCTAATTATTTTAGGTCCTTAAAGCCACGACAAAGTATTCAAAGAACAAGAAGACAAAAAAGTTCCAACCTTGAACTCACTCAGTGGAATTTCTTTCGTGACGAAAATCGACGGACATAGCTTGAGGCAAGAACATTAATAATTCTCGAAACTAACAAGCATCAGAAGAAGTCGAAAATGATGACAGCAAAGGGAACAAATCTTCTTTTAGGAGCAGCTGTGCTATTGATTATTGCCGTTACAGGTGAGTTGAAATGGAAAATTGTTGGGAAAGCTGTAATTATTTTTATTTGTGTTTGTGGCTTTTAATTATTGGTTTAGATTATTTTTTTGTGTAAGGCTTCTGGGTATGGAATGAAATGGAAAGTATGGCAAAAGTGAATATTAACGGGAAATTGTGCTGTGTTGACAGATTTTTTTTAAAGGGAATTTAAGTTAAGTTTGAGGAAAAAAGGGTTAAAAGTGGTTTTGGAACCAAGAACGAAGAACCAAGAACCAAGAATTAAAAACCAAGAATCAAGAACCAAAAACCAAGAACCAAGAATCAAGAACCAAGAACCAAGAACCAAGAACCAAGAACCAAGAACCAAGAACCAAGAACCAAGAACCAAGAAACAAGAACCAAAAACCAAGAACCATGAACCAAAAACCAAGAACCAAGAACCAAGAACCAAGAACCAAGAATCAAAAACCAAGAACCAAAAACCAAGAACCAAGAACGAAGAACCAAGAACCAAGAACCAAGAACCAAGAACCAAGAACCAAAAACCAAGAACCAAGAACCAAAAACCAAGAACCAAGAATCAAGAACCAAGAACCAAGAACCAAAAACCAAGAACCAAGAACCAAGAACCAAGAACCAAGAACCAAGAACCAAGAACCAAGAACCAAGAACCAAGAACCAAGAACCAAAAACCAAGAACCAAGAATCAAGAACCAAGAACCAAGAACCAAAAACAAAGAACCAAGAACCAAGAACCAAGAAACAAGAAACAAGAACAAAAAATCAAGAACCAAGAACCAAAAACCAAGAATCAGTTGGTATCAGTTTATAGTTCTCAGTCTACGATTCTCGATTCTAGAACCAATTCAAAAACCATTTCAATCATGTGAACAGCTCATTTTATGCTCAATTTAATCCCTTTCAACGCAAAAATCAAAATAATGATTTAAAGACAGAAAACTTTTAAACAATAAAAATGTTTGATATCCTTAAACCAGTTCTACTTAAACTACGGTTCGCGAAACACTGTTCTAATTAGCAAGAGTCAACAATTTCAAACTTCAAGACATCTTAGTTCAAAGAAAACTGATCTCAATGGACATTTATTCAAACAAAATGCAATCTTTATGTTTGTACCGTAGCACTTAGGTTTGCCATCAATATGCTGAAATAAAATAAATTGAACCAATATAAAATAAAGACTTTGCGTGACGAATTTCAAAGGAAAACAACAAAAAAAAAAGCTTGAAAGGAAGGAAAATAAAAAAAAAATTCTTTTATCGTCCAAAAAGTATTGATAAAATAGAAATCAATGAAAATGAAAAAGAAGTTTATGAAAGAATTTTTGTAGTAAAAGGAAAATTTTGTAGTAAAGAAAAAACAATTTTCATTCTGTCTTGCGTTAAGTAATGTGAGAAAATTATTATTTTTTGTGAAAATTGGGTTTGGGGTTTTTAAGTTGGGAATTATTGGACTTTATGAGGTCCCAAAGTGGTCCATTTGGTTAAGGAAGGAAGTTTGTAATTCCTAATTTTTGATGATTTAGTTGCGTTAGGATTTAAAAGCGCTGTCTTTTTGCCATTTACAGCCAAAGCTTCATTTCCTGACTGCTTTCTTGACTCTCTCAGATTCTGAACTATCAGACTCAGTTCCTCGCAACAAGAGTGATTAGAAAATTAATGACAAAGCGTTTATTGAGAAAGATTCACAGATTAATCGTAAAAATTTGTTGTTTTTTTGCCAAAAATAAATATGTTCTTTTATGATTTATGTTGGAAGTTTTGAGGGTTGATTTAATGTTAAATGAACTAAGTTTTGAAGGATCATTAAACAAGAAATCAAAATTTAATTTTATAAGTTTTTAATAAATTGAAATCAATGATGTATGAAATTGGATAAAAAACAACAGCATTTGGGTCAATTTGAAGGTTTTTGTAAAGCAAAAAGAAGAAAGAAGAAAGAGCCACTTGCCGAGATTTCATAGCTCAGAAGCTAAAACCAGAACTTGAGAACCAAAGAACCGAAATTTGAGAACAGAAGAACCACAATTTGAGAACCAAAAAACCAAAATTTGAGAACCGAAGAAACCACAATTTGAGAACCAAGAACCAAAATTTGAGAACCAAGAACCACAATTTGAGAACCAATGAACCAAAATTTGAGAACCAAAGAACCACAATTTGAGAACCAAAGAACCAAAATTTGAGAACCAAAGAACCAAAATTTGAGAAACAAAGAACCACAATTTGAGAACCAAGAACCACAATTTGAGAACCAAGAACCACAATTTGAGAACCAAGAACCACAATTTGAGAACCAAGAACCACAATTTGAGAACCAAAGAACAACAATTTGAGAACCAAGAACCGTTTTTTGAGAACCAAGAACCACAATTTGAGAACCAAGAACCACAATTTGAGAACCAAAGAACTACAATTTGAGAATCAAAGAACTACAATTTGAGAACCAAGAACCACAATTTGAGAACCAAAGAACCAAAATTTGAGAACCAAGAACCACAATTTGAGAACCAAGAACCACAATTTGAGAACCAAGAACCAAAATTTGAGAAACAAAGAACCACAATTTGAGAACCAAAGAACAACAATTTGAAAACCAAGAACCATTTTTTGAGAACCAAGAACCACAATTTGAGAACCAAAGAACTACAATTTAAGAACCAAAGAACCAAAATTTGAGAACCAAGAACCACAATTTAAGAACCAAGAACCACAACTTTTTCCAAAACCATTTTTTGAGTTGAACTTAAGTTGACAAGCTAGTTCACGACTTTTTTAAACTCCACTTCGTACTACTCTCAACAACAACACCAATAATCCCCAATAATCCACAGAAAAATTAAAAGAATTATGTCAATTGAAGCCATGTCACACAGAAAATCACATGTTCCATGAAACTTTTACATCACATGTCCCATATTTTTCTCAATATTATCCTTGATAATTTGCCAATAGTTTCATGTCTACCTCTGCATTGTGTAAATTTTTATTGAGCTTTTTATTTTATTTTCACATTTATTGGAACTTGTCCAATCAAGAATAAAAAAAAAAGTATTAAAAGTGACAAGCTGCTTGCTTGAATTTTGGTTGTTGTTGTTGTCTTTGGGGATGTTTGGTGATTTTGGTCGAGGTTTTTGGGGATTATTGAGAATTTTGGGGATTTGAAAAGTGCGAAATTATTGATTTTGAATTCTTCAGAATTTTACAATTTTTAACAATTAACCTCAAAATTCATAACTCATGCTCTAATTGCTACTATCAAATGCACTCTAATTTATCTTTTTCTACCCCATTTTTCATTTCTACTTCCTCCTTTTTTCTCTTTAAATATTCGTTTTTTGTCCTATTTTTAGAGAACATTTCCACAATTTTTATTTTATTTCATTTTTCTATGTTTTAATATAGGATTGGCCTGAATTCTCATTTTTTATTTTCTTCTACGTCCTTTTTGTTCTTTGCTGGATTTCAATTCACCGTGGGAACTTTTTTCATTCATTTACAATTTTATATATTTTTATGCCGTTTAACAAATGTCTGAGGAACCTTGAAAGTTAAATAAAACATTTTTTGCAATCGATATTAGCTGCTTAAGTGGTTTTGGAATGATGTGAAGGTGCTTATAGTTGCGATTAAGAGTTTTGTTGAAGAGTTAATTGATTTTATGAGGGTTGTTGGAACTTGAGTTTTCGAAAAAAAACGAGAATATTCTTTTCTTCAATTTTTTTATAATTTTTCTCAATTTTTAAAAATTTAAATTTCTTTTTTTTCGTTTCTGTTCTTTTTAATTTTAAACTTTTTACAAATTCAATTTTTTTTTGTTTTAAACTTTTTAAAACTTCAAATTTTTAAAATTTTAAATTTTTTTAATTTCTTTTCTTTTCAATTTTAAATTTTTTGTTATAAACTTTGTACAAATTAAATTTTTTTGTTTTAAACTTTCTTAAGTTTAATTTATAACGAATTTTAATTTTTGTAAAATTTAATCTTTTTAATTTTTTTTTAAAATTTAACCATTTTTTTAAAAAATTAATTTTTATATTTCAAATTTGTTACGCAATTTTGTTTTTAAAAAATTTCAATTCCTCCAAACTTTCATTTCATTTTTTTTTATTAATTTTCAAAAATCAAAAAAAAAACTTAATAAAATGCAAAAAAGCAATTTGATGCTTTAAATCACACACTAGCTCATCATATTCACAATCATATTCTATTTCAAACTAAAATCGATAGTCCTTAAAATCTTCCAATTACCTCCCGCCCACATCCCAACTCAGCCCTCACCACCAATCAAAAAAATCAATATTTTGTGTCTATTTTCGAAAGTTTTCTTTTTTTTCATTTTTAAATAATAAAAAAATCGTTCATCACGTCATAAAATATTAGAACATAAATGAAAAATTTCCAACGAACTAGAAGTGATGGATATGAGGGTTGTAAACAGTGAATAGACTGAATGGAATCGTACAAGTGCTGTTGTGGTTTTGGATTAACTTTCAGTCAGCCGTGGATTCTTCTTTTTTTAAATATTGTTCAGTGACATTTTAGATAGCAAATGTTTGGCTTTTCACGCCTTTGTTTGAGGCTATAAGGACTGAATTTCAAATTTATTAAATTCAAGAGGGTTTTGGGTCTTAAAAAATTACAATTAAATTCAAAAAAATAATTTTTATTCAATTCAATTCTTTAACATTTCAAAAAAGTAGTTTACCATCTAATATGGATTTCAATATAACATCCCCAAACCTTAATTCTAATAATAATTTCTCCTCTTGGTTCAAAACTATCAGCCATAAGTGCTTGAAGGATGTCAGCATCACGACGAGTCAAATTATCTCGAGTCATCATTTCTTCAACAGCTTTGTCCATAATTACAGCAATTTCTTCCATTGGCATTCCTTTAAGGCTATAAAGTTTCTCATTCATTTCTTTCAAAATCCATGGTGATAAGTCTCTTGTGTCTAGTACAGCAGCACTACATCTTTGGGACGACAATGACATGGATCCTGCTGAGGATTCTAAAAAGTGAAGCAAAAACATTTTAAATTAGATAAAGGTGGTTTCACATGTTGTTTAAGTGGTAAGGTGTCTTAACATTAAAGTTGTGAGGTTCAGATGTCTTCACAAAAGAGCTCTTAAGTCCAGGTGTCTTCACCCTTGAGTTTTATGGATCTTTTGCTTATTTGAGTTTTAAAGTTTAGGTGCCTCAACACTTGAGTTGTTTTAAGGTTCAGGTGCCCTTACATTTGTTTCGTGGTTCAAACGCCTTTCTAGTACATTTTTGAAGTTCAGACACCTTTACACTTGAGTTTTGAGATTAGGTGCCTTCACACTAAAGATATAGGGTTCAGGTGTCTTTAAATTATAGCTTTAAGGTTCTTACCATTGACAAACATTAAAGCAGCAACAAAAGCAACCAAAAAAATCTTCATTTTGACAAAATATATTTAATTCTTAAACAAGATACTTCAAAAACTTCAATATTCAGATTGATAAGCTTGTTGGAACCAAACCTTCTTTATATACAAATATTTTATGGATAATTTTAATATCTAACACTGATTAATAGAAACATATAAAATTTCGTGAAAATTTTGCCATTCAACTTTTGTCGTGAATTTTTTATTTATCAGCTTGATTCGTGATTGTTAAAATTTTATAAACTAGGGCTTTATTTGGGTTTACGATTTTAAATTTTGTTTTTGATTAAATATAAATAAATGCACGATTCAAAAATAATAATAGCAAAAACTTTACAACATACTCGAATTAATAATAAAATGTTAAATTTTTATTATTTTTCTAATTTCAGGGTCTAATGCCATCATGTGCTACCACTGTAACAGTGCATACGACCCCAGATGTGCTGATCCATTCAACTCATTCTCACTTGGTATCATTAATTGTAGTATGGCACCAGTGCCAGATCATGTTGGATCTATGGGAATTGAACGTGCAACCCTTTGCAGAAAGACAACACAGAAGGGTAAGATTTTTGAAATAAAGGTGCATTCACACTTGAGTTCTAGGTTAAGGTGCCTTCAAACTAGAGTTCTAGATAAAGGTGCCTTAACACTAGAATTCAAGATGAAGTTGCCTTTACACTAAAGTTCTAGTTTATGGTTTCTTTACACTAGAGTTCTAGATTAAGATGCCTTTACACTAGAGTTCTAGATTAAGATGCATTTACACTAGAGCTCTAAATTAAGGTGCCTTTACACTTGAGTTTTAGTTTATGGTGTGTTTACACTAGAGTTCTAGATTAAGATGCCTTTACACTAGAATTCTAGATTAAGGTGCCTTTACACTAGAGTTCTAGATTAAGTTGCCTTCACACTAGAGATCTAGATTAAGATTTCTTTACACTAAAGATCTAGATTAAGGTGCCTTTAAACTAGAGCTCTAGATTAAGGTGCCTTTACACTTGAGTTTTAGTTTATGGTGTGTTTACACTAGAGTTCTAGATTAAGATGCCTTTACACTAGAATTCTAGATTAAGGTGCCTTTACACTAGAGTTCTAGATTAAGTTGCCTTCACACTAGAGATCTAGATTAAGATTTCTTTACACTAAAGATCTAGATTAAGGTGCCTTTAAACTAGAGCTCTAGATTAAGGTGCCTTTACACTTGAGTTTTAGTTTATGGTGTCTTTACACTAGAGTTCTAGATTAAGATGCCTTTACACTAAAATTCTAGATTAAGGTGCCTTTACACTAGAGTTCAATATTAAGGTGCCTCCACACTAGAGTTCGAGATTAAGGTGCCTTCACACTAAGATTGCATAGTTTAGGTGCCTTTACATGAATTTAAACTAATAATTTCTTCTTCATAATTTTAGTTTATGGAAAAGTCCGAGTAGTACGTGGATGTGGATACATCACAGATGACCGTGACGATGGAACGTGCGCAAAACGATCAGGAACACACGACGTATTCGCATTGTACTGTGCCTGCACCACAGACTTGTGCAATAGTTCAGATAAAGTGTTCAGCAAACATCAAATTGTCTTCGGCATTCTCGCTGCCATTTTAGGATCATACGCTAATCAATTCATTCAGCGTCAATTATAGATTATTAGTTTCATGAATTTAGGTATTATTTGTTGATAAAATATTATAAAATGTATTATGTTTTATTGGTTTGAAGCGTTAATTATTTGACTTTGTGTTTGCAAAAATAGGAAAGAGACAAAAATAAATAAAAAAATTTCATTGCGAAAATTTCATGCCGAAAAAAAAAACTTTTTTTAAGTAAATTATTTGTTAAAAAAGTCATTTTTGATGATAAAATTGCATATAGCTGTGTAATAGTAAGTGGCGATAAATGTTGAATTGTTTTTCTGAAGAGTTGAAATTTATTTGAAAGTTAAAAAATATTTTAAATTATTGAATTTTTTTTTTCAAATTTTTATAAACTTTTTGATTTTTAAAACAATTTTTTAAATTTTTATATTTTTTTTTAAATTTTTATAAAATTAAAAATCAAATTTTTTTCACTTTCAAATAAATTCTCATCTCTCGACTGTCTCCCTAAGTACATATTAAAGAAAATTAACAAAAAAAAACCTACTCACGCTTGTAAATGTAAAATTAAGTTTAAAATACAATAAATAATGAAAAAAAGTAATAAAAAAGGAAATCTTAAACTTCGCATTGAAGTTCAAAAAAAAATTGTTATAAACTAGTAATAAAGAAGATTATTTAAATTAAATAGATCAAAGAAACAACGATTTCCAAATGTCAAAAGCAAAATAAATCAAGATAAAAAAAATTCTGCCCTCATTTTGTAGGCTAGAAATATTTTTGAAATTAGAAAGTGGAATTGAAAAGGAAAAATTAGTAAGAATCATTCAAAACTTGCTCCATCTGTGTTGTTAATTAGTCTAACAATGATTTATTTACCAACTGTTGACTTTAAATATTATTTTCATTATTTTAAATAAATTGTAAAGGCACCTGAACTCAAACCACCAGAGTGAAGGCATCTGAACATAGAATTCTAGTGTGAACGCACCTGAAAATGAAACTCTTTAAGTGTAAAGGGGCCTTAACATGGAACTCTAGCGTAAAGCAACCTTAACATGGAATTTTAGTGTACACTGTACAGAAGCCTTAACATGCAACTCTAGTGCAAAGGCACCTTAACACAGAATTCAATTGTAAACGCACCTGAAAATGATACTCTCAAGTGTAAAGAAGCCTTAACATGCAACTCTAGTGTTAAGGATCCTTAACACAGAATTCTAGTGTGAACGCACCTGAAAATGACACTCTCAAGTGTAAAAGGGCCTTAACTTGGAACTAGCGTAAAGGCACCCTAACATGGAATTTTAGTGTAAAGAAGCCTTAACATGGAATTTTAGTGTAAAGAAGCCTTAACATGCAACTCTAGTGTAAAGGCACCTTAACACAGAATTCAATTGTAAACGCACCTAAAAATGAAACTCTCTAGTGTAAAGGGGCCTTAACATGGAACTCTAGTTTAAAGGCAACTTAACATGGAATTTTAGTGTAAAGGCACCTTAACACAGAATTCAATTGATAACGCACCTGAAAATGAAACTCTCAAGTGTAAAGGCACCTTAACATGGAATTCTAGTATAAAGGCACTTTAGCATAGAACTCTAATGTAAAGGAACCTGAACATAGATTTCCAGTGTGAACGCACCTGAAAATGAAACCCTCAAGTGTTAAGGCAATTTAACATGGAATTCAAGTGTAAGGGCACCTTAACATGAAACTCTATTATGACCGCACTTGAAAATGAGACTCTCACTGGTGAAAGCGCCCTAACATAGACATCTTCTGTCGATACTCTTTAACATTGAAGTCTAGTTTCAGAGAACCTGATCCTAGATCTTATAAGTGAAGGCACCTTAACTTAGGCCACTAATTGAAGACGTTTTAACATGAAGCTCTAGTGTATAGGCACATGAATGTTGAACTCTTGCGTGAAGGAACCTTAACAAAAAGTTTATTCCAAAAAGAAATCCTTAAATTTAAAAGGTTAAAGAATTTAAGTTTTAATTTTTAAAGAGTTATTAAAAAATATTGTAAAAACAGCAATAAAAAAAACTAATTTTTGAAATATAAACTTTCATGTATAGTCTTTAAAAGAATTGCTTTAGTCAAATAACGAAATAAAAAAAACAGAAAATGAATCGCTTTATACACAAAAAATAAAAGAAAAAAATTAATAAAGTAGAAAATATTTCTCCAATTTCCACTAGATGCTCCAAAAAAACTTATTAAAAGATCTTTAACTTTAAAAAATAAAAAAGTAGAAAAATTTCACTGACACACAAACACACACACATACACACTCTCATAAAAAATAACACACACGAACACAAATAAAATAAAATAATGAATAATTTTTCTTGAAGGAAGAAATGATGCCGTTCTTATCTTAATGAAGAATAAATTTCTATATTTTTAAAATTTATTTAAATGATTTTTTTATTTTTTGAATTTAGTTTTGCTAGAAATGTTAAAATTTAATGAAAATAGAATCAAAGATTATTAAAAATAAATATAAAATCACTGCTTTAGTTCATAAAACAAGAAGAAATATTTAAAAAAAATCTATAAATAAATAAAAAAGTTAAAATTTAACTTTAAGGTCAGCTTTAGGTAAAAAACAACAACAAAACTACATGAAATATAATAAATTTAATTTGAAACTTTTTCGATGAATTTGTTTGAGGTTGAAAATTTGAAACTTATTTTAAAATTTAAATTTAAAACTTAATTAAAATTGCTTCAAAAACAATGATTAAAGTTTTTTTAAATATTTTTTTTGTGTTTAAAAATTTAAATATTGTAATATTTTTTTATTTTTTAAAATGTAATCTTTTTTTATAATTTTCAACTTCAAATTAATAAATTAAAAAAGATTGTTTTCAAATTATTATATTAATTCAAATGAAAATTAAAAAGATATTTAAAGAAAACATTCATTAAAAAGTTAAAAGATAAAAATAATAAAAGTGAAATGTTTTACTGATAAAAAAAGATTAAAAATGATAGATTTAAGTTTGTTTATTGAATGGAAATCGATGGATTTGTAAAAGTAAACCTAGCAATTGTGTAGCCGGAATGGTCAAACTTTTATTAAAAATATTTTCAGTTTTTATTATTTTAAAATTAAATTCTTGATCATAATAAAATATTAAATACAAAAACAAAGTAAAAATTATTTTATTAAATTGAATTAAAAGTTAAAATTCTGATTAAAACATTTGTCCTAAGTTTAAATTCATTGAATAAAAATTGAACAAATAATAATATTTTTCAAAAATATTAAAACATGAATTAAAAGACGAAATGCCTTAATGAAGATATTTAAAAAATAAAAAAAGCTTAAAAAACATTGAAAACTATAAAATGTGAAAAATTGTAAAATTTTCAGTTTTTCAAAAGAAAATTGAAATGTGAGAAAATTGAAATTGAAACTTTTTTAAAAAACTTAAAAAAATCTTTTTTAATTTAATTTTATTTGAAATTTTAGCAAAAAATAAATTAAAAATCGTGTGTTTGAAAAAAAAAAGTTTTTAAGAATCAACGCAGTTGGTAGGACTTGAACCTACGCTCCCAGAGGGAATCTGATTTCTAGTCAGACGCCTTAACCGCTCGGCCACAACTGCTTAAAATTTCATTTTTTGTCACTTGCTTGTGGTTCACTTTTATTTCTGTTTTATCTTTTCAAAAAACAGTTGTTTTTATTTTTAGTAATTTTAAAATTCTAATGTTTTTTTGTTGTAATTTAAAAATTCAAATGTTTTTTTTTCATATTCAAAAAGTTGTTTTGTTTTATTTAAAATTCAATTCTCACAAATTTTCTTTTAAATGAATTAATTAAAACCTTTAAAGAAAATATCAAATTTAAAAGCTGATTTTTGTTCATAAAATGAACAAACTTTGCTGCTTAAAAAGAAGCAAAAAAAACTTATTTTAAAATCATCAACAGAAAAAAATCAAAAATATCATTTTACTAAGAAAAAAATCTTGAAATAAAATGAAAAGATGCGAATAAAAAAAAGATAAAATTGAATTTAAAAATTATAAAAGCAGGAAAAAATTTGACTCAAAGTGAAATTTTTCAATATGAAATTTAGAAAAATATCAAAATAAAGATTATGAAATTTTTCAAAATATCGAAAAATTGAGAAATTAAATTAAAAGAATGTTAAACACAACAAAAACATGTATTGATAAAAAAATAATAATAAAATGAAATCGCTAAATAAAGTTGAAATAATTTTTTTTTTTGAAAAACAAAATGAATTTGAATTTTTTTAAACTTTTTCCAATTAATTTCTTAAAAACCTTAAGTTTGCATTTCATAATTAGTTTTGTGCATAACTGGAAACTGGACATGAAATTGTAATTATGAGCTAGGTTTTTTGGTAGTTTTAAAAAATGGGAAATAGAATTTAAGGGACAGGAAATAAGGGGTAGGAAATAAGGGGCAGGAAATGAGGGGTATGAAATAGGGGCAGAAAACGAAGGGAAAGAAATAAGGCGTGGGAAATATGAAAAAAGAAACAATTTGTAGGAATGAAGATAGAAAAAAGGTATACAAGTATTAGACTTGCTCTAACGAACCCTAAAACAACAACCAACTTCGCTGATGCTTTATTAAAAACAATTAAGTTAAAAAATACTTATTTTATTATTAAATCATCACCAATTTATAAAAGTTTGAATATAACACCCCCAAATCCCACTTCTGATGTCCCCACTCGATCCAAAAACTTGAGCAATCAGGAACTCTTGAATCAGTCCGAGGTCATTTTGTGTTAAATCATATTGAACTATCAATGATTCTAAGAAGCTGTCCATCTGAACTGCCAGTTCCTCAATTTGTTGATTTTTGTGATTTGCAAGCTCAGTGTTGATTAGAGCTGCAAGCCATAATGACAAGCCTTCCATGTCAAAAACCTGAACTGGACATGGAATGCTTGAAAAAAATGTGGTTCCTGCAGATGCTTCTACAAATTATGAGGAAGTTATGCTTTTGTAGATTAAAGTATTGATGTTTATGTGTACTTGCCAGCCACAAACCCAGAAATAGCTACAAAAACTATCAATAATGATCTCATATTTATGAATATTCAGTGAACTGTATCCTTTAGTGCTGACTGATCTTGACTGACTGATCTTAACTGAATTATGAATAAGTTTTCAGCTTGAAGCTTTCAAAAAGGCAGGAAAACCATTAAAACATTTTTATATACTGGAGCATTTTAACTGCAGATTTGTGTCATAAACTGATGCACATAAAATTGACACCTGAAAAGTTTTTTGAAAATTCTGAATAAATGTTTCATTGCTTATTAGCCTGAAAAAATGTTGAGGAGCTGGTTTCTATGGCTACCTGTCCCTTGGCTCAATCATTGATCGATTTGACTATTTCTCCATCCTTGTTTCGCATTAGTTCTTTCTGGTATGAGATTGAGATTTATCCGGCATTAGCTCAAGGCTGTGGAAATGATTAACTAGATTTTGATCGTTTTTGATCATTTTTCAACCATTTTTGATCATTACGATCAGCTCCGCACCCTTGCATAAGCAATGTTTGGCAAAAGCTACATCCGAGCTTCAGATCTTTTTGGGATGTCAATCACACTTGCAATGCAATGTCCCAGAAACTTAGTTTTCTCTCGATTAAGTTTCCAGTGGCAGATAGATTGCAGCCTTTGCTGTAAGCCCTTTAATAAGGTTATCGACCAAAAACAGAAGCTGATCAGTAATAAAAACGTAAATCATATTTGGTCAAACGAAACTTTATTTAAACCTTTCTTTTCAACGGATAATTTTAACTTTACCAATTTGAATAACAACAAATTAAACAATTTAAATCAAATCGTTCACCACTTGATGTGGATTCGGATGTAACATCCCCATGCCTTGATGGTAACATCAATTTCACCTTTGCCTGAGAAGTATGGATCATTCAAAAACTCGTGCAAGATCAAAAGATCCTTATCAGTTGCATCCTTATCCTTTTCGATCTTTTCAACAAGGTCGTTCATGCGCGAAACAAGTTCTTCGAATGGTTTGTCCTTTCGCTTTTCGAGTTCATCCTTGATTTCTTCAATTATCCATGGCGACAAGTTGCTCATGTTGTAAACAGATGCTGGACATGTGTCTGGGGAGCCAGCTAGAGCTTCTGGATGTAAGAAAAGGAAAAGTTGAGTGATTTTTTTATGAACTTGCCTTTTTACTAGTCAAATTGAAGTCGGGCAAACGAATCAAAGTCATTACTTAGGCATAATCTAATCCAGTGATGGTCAACCCATGTGCCGCGGCACACTGGTGCGCTACGACAAAATATGCCGTGTGCGCTTTCGGTTATGGCTCACAAATAAGGTACACCATGGCATGAAAAAGGTTGTCCACCACTGACCTAGCCAAACCCAAGGTGCACTTGCCAAAACCATGAGCCCTAGAGCTAGAACTTCTAGCCTCATACTCACCAGAGGCAAAAGCCAAAACAACAAATGCAGCAATCAAAAATGTCTTCATTTTTTAATATCTTTTAATCTTTCAAAGTGAATCCTAAGGAACTGATTAGTAGAACTGATGAAATAAGCTCGTGCAACATCTTCCTTATATACTAGACCATATTTAATTAAAACTTTCATTTCCTATTCTACGTGCTAATTGTCTAAAGACTTAAAAGTAAACAATTTTTAATGTTTTTTTTTTACTGCAAAGCTACTTCGTGATCAGCAGCAGTCACAAGCTTAGTCCATAAACTTTATTACTTTTCGTATCACAAAATTAATTTAAAGTGCAAGTTCTGACAAATTAAGGTCTGCAGAGTTCTTTGCTGGTGCATTGTTTGATGCTTTTGGTCCATTAACGCCTTTTGGCGGTGCACCTGCCTTGCCATGCTTTTTGTCGTTATTTCCTGGGTTTTTATTGCCATTTTCATTCTTGTTGTTGATGCCTTTTCCATTATTTCCAGAACTTGGGCTGTTTCCATTGCTTCGAACATTTTTATCACTGGCTTTTTGGTTTGAATTTGGTTTTGCGTTCTGTACTGAGCCTGTGTTGCCTTCTTTGTTGCCTTTTGGTGGAGGTTGGCTGGAAATGGAAGTAATGACTTACAAGAACATTCGATTTGGACTCTAACTTACGCAAAGACAGTCATAAAGACACAAACAACAACAAATAAAATTAAAAATTTCATTATCACTTGATTTTATGTTCGCACTAAGTATTGGAATTTTTGAAGCTATTTAAAATGGATTTGAGAATTAAAAGCGAATTTATACAAAAATTTTATTAATCTAAAAACAAGAAAAAAGATTAACAGAAATTAATTTGATAAAAAAATGAACACTTAATTTCAATTTAACATTTGACAAATTACATTTCCATAATAAATTGACAACAATGAGTCAACAAGTAGATGAAGAGTTAAGCAAGGTCAAAATGTGTGAAGTTTTTGAAAACTTACTGTTTAGGTTATGAAATTTTTTTACTGCGCATAACTTTAATTCACAGTTGACTTGTCATAAATGAAGTGCGCAGTTGAAAGCACAATGAAAAAGTGCACTGTTAATGCCGCATTTAACAAGTACGAAATTAATAGTGCATTGAATTAGTGCCAGGGGCGTAGCCAGGGGGGGCCATAGGGGGCCCGGGCCCCCCCTACGAAAATCTGATAATTGTTTTATTAAGTAATTATAGAGAAGAACCAATTAATGTAGAGGAAGTGATGAAAGAAATGTCAAAATCAGCACGAAAAATTAAATTTAATGTATGAATAATGAATTCAATATTTAAACTTATGAAGAATGAATATAGATTTAAGGATACAAAATAACGGTTTTTTTGATTTTCGAAAATGGGCCCCCCCTTAAAAATTTTCTGGCTACGCCCCTAATTAGTGCGCAATTAATGGCGCAATGAAGTAATGCGCAATAATTAGCGCATTGAAGTAATGCGCATTAAATTGCGCACCAAATTAGTGCGCATTAAATGGCGCACTGAATTCTTGCGCCCTTAATGATGCATTGAATTAATGCGCAAGAGATGGTGCAGGATAATGCGCAGTTTCTGGCGTAGTTCACTCCGCAATTCATGGCGCTTGATTTTTAAGTGCGCAAATAACTGCGCAACAATATGTGCACAGTTTAATTTTTTTAAAGTTCTACAATAATACATCAAATTCTAAATTAAAATTCCATCTTTTATTAAAACTTTAAAATGCAAATTCCGATAAACTAACATCTCCACCTTTTGCAACAGGTTTGTGGGTTGATTTTAATGGAGCGTTTCCAGCTCCTGACGGAGGATTTTTAGCTCCTGAAAAGTATAAAGCTCCACCATTACTACTTGACTGCGCAGAAGCTTGACTGTTTCCATTGTTTGAAGCACTGCTGCTAGAACTAGAGCTGAACTTGATAGATCCATTAGAATTTGAACTGCTGCTGCTACTGGAGCTTTGTCCATTTTGACTCGATGATTGGCTGGAACTTGATGAGGCTGGAGCTTTCCCAAAATTCATGGACCTTAAAAAAATTGGTTTTAATTGCTTTTGTGAATTTAAAGAATTAAAAACTTACAGAACAGCTGAAAAGAAGCTTAATAAGACAAAGAATGTAAATGTTTTCATGATTTATGATTGAGTCTCTTGCTGTAACTTAATATTGCCTGAATATGCTTAATTTAACGTTTAATATTGAAATACTTTACAGGAAATGTTCAAATAATGAGTAAAAAATTTATTAAGTACTCTAAATATCATTCAATTTTGACGTCAGCACTTACATTAAATACATTTTATTCATCACCTGACCTCTTTGAACTTGAAACAAGATTATCAGCAAAAGTCTTTATATTAATTGCAAAATACATTTTAGATATCATCTTAAGCTCCTTGTCGTAAAGCTTTAAAAAGAGAAAATTATGAAAAGCTTGAAATTTGGAATCATCAGGATGACCTGCACTTGTTGGAACTGATTGGCGATTTTCTGCGTTATTAGATTTGTCTGAATGGCTTGAACTTGAATGAGGACTGGCTATAATAATTGGGACAAAACGACCTGAATTTGAATTACGGCTGCTAGATCCGGACGATGAAGAACCAGATGAAGAAGAACTAGATGAAGGAGAACCAGATCCTCGAGATGATCCAGATGAACCTGAAGATCCTGATGAGCCACGACCACCACCACCACCCCCTCTGGAATTGAGATTAAAATTAAATTTAAGATGACTGAAAAACTCGGTGAATAAAGCCTTGAAAAGTGTTTTTGTGTTTTATTTGAAGCTAAGTTGCAACATAACATTAGCTAAGTTTTAAGACTCACTTAGCGTCGACAGCTATCAAGAAAATAAATAAATAAAGAATCGCAAATTTCATTTCTTATTGTTAATAATTTAATAAAAATTCCCACAAATTTCAAACCTCAAAAAGTCAAATTTTATTTCTAAAGTGATGAAAAGCTGTAAAAACTGTGCAGAGATTGTTAAAAAAAATTTAGTGGGGCTGTGTGAAAATGATGTTCATCGACTATTCACAGCATCAGGTTGTTAAAAACATTTATTTAAATTAAGTTATCTTGAAAATAAATCTCTTTTAAAACGATTTAAACAACAAATTTTATTTTCCGTAAAACATTGTTTGACATCATTTTTAAACAAACCCTTAAGGGGCCGTTCAATTATGACGTCCGAAATTAACGGTCATTTTTCAAAAAAGAACAATAGATCTCCAAGAATTTCTATTGTTCTTCCCCCCCGGAACGTCAAAAGTGAACGGCCCCTAAATAAATTGAGTCATATACTGAAATGCTAAGTTTGAGCATTTATGATTTTATTTTCCTTTATTTCTTTATAAATCAATCAAATTCCCGAGAAACAATGATTGCCAAAGCTCTTAATGACTCCTTCTTTAAACGCCTCTGGCTATTTTTACCTTATCATTTGCATTAATTTTAGGGGAGGGAAGGGGGGTATCAAACGCGTAGCCATGGAAGGAGGAGGGGGGATGTTGGTAACAAATCCCACGTTGTCAACAGAAATTTCTTCAGTTGCTATTGTTTTTATTAAAAAAAATTAAACAACCCCCCCCCCCATTAAATTCCTGGCTATGACCCTGAAGAACAGTGATGGTCAACCCATAAGCCGCGGTACAGTAGGATGAAAAAATCGAGAAAACCCAAGAACCACATTTTCATGACTTGTCATAAATATGTGCCGTGGCACAAAAAAGGTTGTCCACCACTGTCCTAGCAACCAGCTTCTAGCAAAAATTGACATTCGGGATACTTATAAAGCTTATGATGATTCAGTTTGATTAATTTTCAATGCCATAAGACCTTCATACTTATCCATTAAATAACGAGTCCCATAAAAACTAGAAGTTTTGAAACCTACTCCAAAACCATCCAAATTGTCTTTAAAATCCTCAAAACTTAATGTTTTTGATTCAACTTCTATCTTCTTAATCTCGCTGTCTAAAAGTAAAAACTCAGAATTCGCACATTTCTTCTTACTAAGCTCAATAACTTCTCTAACTTTAGCTAAGCCATAAACACCCAAATTAATGCAAGGAACATTATCGAACAAGAATGTTTTTAAGTTATTTAAATTGTCAAAAACCGTTGGATCAATGTGAATGATGTGACTTTCGTAAACGACAAGAACTTCCAATTTTTGGTTGAACTCAAAAAGACCTTCTTCAATAATTTTGATTTTATTGTCTCGAATTTGCAGTAATGTTAAGTTCCTGAATGGTTTGAAGTCTGCTTGATGAACTTCCTTCAATCCGCAAGCCATAATTCGAATTAATTCAATATTTTTGAAGAATTTATCCAAATTTTTAGGGAAATAATGAAGAACTTGATCCTCAGCATAAAATCCCAGGACATCATCATTAGTAAAATATTTTTGGGTAGTGTTGACCATCAATGCCAATTATTGTCGTTGGTTCAAGAATTCCCAAACCTCTAGCATTGCACGTGTATTTGTATGGTGAGAAGAAGAAGTTGAACCCAAAGCTACATTCTATATTTATTGATAATTCTGAACTTTTGACATGAACAGCGATAAGACAAGCGATGATGCTGCAAATAGACTGAATTATTAAGAAGCACAGTGACGAAAAAAGATCTTTGTTGATTGTTTTTAAAAATAATATTAATTGGCAAACGGGAGCCAGCGATAGAGCCAGCTTAAGGTGCCATCAAGGGTGTGGCACTGATGAAATGATCAAAAATGATCAAAAATGATCAAAATGTAATTCTTCAGTTCCACACCCTTGGGTGCCATCTAAGGAAGGTCATGGATCACAATTGATCTGTACGCCTAGCAGGGGCGTAGAAAGGAATTTGAAGAGGGGGGACAAAATTTTTTTTTGTATGGAAAAATTTAAGGGGGGGGGGGGATTTTTTCATCAAAACCCTAGCAAGCACTACCCTAGTTGGGGGGTATGTCCCCCCCTCCCCCCCTGGCTACACGCCTGACTCCCAGCGAAGTAAATGAATTAAAAAAATATTCTGATGCAGTTGTGGTTCAGAGTTGGCATGCCTCAACTTTGTAGAGAATTCATCAAGGCGTGGAAACTATCTCAAATATCCCAAAAATATTCAAAAAATTCCTGAGCATGTATGCACGATAAAAAAGATATCCCAAAGTATCCTTAGTGTATTGGACGTGTAATTTCAGGATATGATGGGATATCTCAATTCTAATGCATACAGGATCAGGGATTATTTTGAATATTTTTGGGATAAATGGGATATTTGCGATAGTTTCCACGCCTTGATGAATTTATTGGACGGTCTTCCAGAAACACTTAGCCTTAGGAAGGCCGCTAGAGGACAAAATCAACAAGATTTTGGAAAATTTTAATTTTTTGATGAAAATGTTTTTAAAAAGATTTAATTTATTTTTAAAAATGTTCTAAAATTTGAGTTAATTTTGGGATCTAGCGGCCTCCCTGAGACGTTCAACTTTTTGGAGTTTTTGAAGGTCAACTCTGTTGTGAATAGCCTAATATTTGGCATGTATCCTTATCCTTTCTCAGTTCTACTTAACATCTGAATCACTCAATTATTTAAAAATTAAGTCATTACCACACGACAATCTTTTCCATTTTTTTAATCAGTTTAGCTTCTTTCGCAGTTGAAAGTTGACTGAAAGTAAACAGCAAATATGAAGCATTCGAGATTTTTTTTATGTGTAAGTAATTGATAAAGGCTTCATTTAGTACTGAATAGCACAAGTCGGTTAATCGAATAGAAATCCGGCACTAAGCTGGAATGATGCTGGCTTGATGCTGGCTTCGATTTAAATCTAGCACCATGCTAGAGTCACACTAGCTTGGTGCCGGATTTCTGATCGATTAACTGACTTGTTAATTAAAAAACTGACTTCATTACACTGAGTCTGAGTTCTTAAACTGCATCTAGCAGGCGCGTAGCCAGGCAGGAGGGGGGGGGGGGCATTTTTCGCCCAAATCCCCCGACGTTAACAGAAATTTTTTCATTTTAATAGGATTTTTATGAAAAAATCCCTCTGAATTTTCCATATAAAATTTTCTTTTTTCCCCCCTTTTCAAATTCCTGGCTATCTACTTATTGAATTGATCATCAATCCAGAACCAGCCAAGACACATTCTTACTATAAGATTATTTTGAATATTCTCACATTTTCTACCCAAAACATAGCACTTAACATGCGACTCACCTTGTCAATGAACTTGAAAATTTTATTCTCACACATTTCTCATGTTTTGGTTCCATTTGCAGCAACAAAACAATTTTTGTCGTCACTCCAAAAAAATTTACCTTCAATTTACATTTTTCGCAAAATCAACAAAATTAACAAAAAATTTCAATATAAAGTTCAGCCACAGAACTAGAATGCAATTCATTTGTGCACTTGCAAGTCATGCTGGCGCAAATAGTAAAATTTCTCTTACTTCTCTCAACTGTGCAGCTTTTGGATGCGACATGCAGTCCATCAACGCAGCTGCTCAACGACTTGACATTCCAGCTTAGTGGATCAAGCCTTGAGTGGCCGTGTCAGTCAACAAAGAACATTTATGTCCAATCAGGTCGCTACACACCTAAAAATATCATCATGACTAGATCGCAGATCCACCGAGATGAAGCTTTTGTGACACTACCGCGACTCAAGCCTGGAGTTCCATTTACACTCGGTAAAATTTCAATGAGACGTGGACAGTGTCAGACATCAGTGACTCCATATCCATGTTGGAGTTTACAGGAAGAAGGAAATTGTCAGGCATTGCAATCAGCTGTCGACTTGTTCTTAGATGGAAATGACATTTTGTGGGTATTGGATGTTGGACTTGTTCATACATTGGATCAACCAGTCAGAAGATGTCCACCAAAAGTTGTTGGAATCAATGTCAGAACTGGACGTGTTGTACAGAACATCGACTTGAGTAGTGTCATTGTTGGTAATTCGAGGCTGCAGCACTTAGTTGTCGAGTACGATGAGGCTGGAAATGCTTTCATGTGAGTAGAATTTTTTGGATTCTTGGGGCTGGGTCTGATCTATTAGAATTCATGTCCTGATCTTGGTTTGATTTTGGTTTGATCTTGATTTGATCTTGATTTGAACTTGATTTGATCTTGATTTGATCTTGATTTGATCTTGGTATGATCTTGATTTGATCTTGATTTGATCTTGATTTGATCTTGATTTGATCTTGATTTGATCTTGATTTTTTATCTTGATTTGATCTTGATTTGATCTTGATTTGATCTTGATTTGATCTTGATTTGATCTTGATTTGATATTGGGTTGATCTAGACTTGATATTGGGTTGATCTTGATTTGATCATGGCCACATCTAGATCCGATCAGAGTCACATCTCGGTTGCTTTAAGATCTGATCTCGGTCACATCTCAGATTTTTGAGGTTATGTCCCCCAATTCCCAACTTTTCAATCTTTCAGCTACATTGCCGATGCAGGAAGCCGCGCTATCCTTGTCTGGGACGTAAGCAACAACCGATCATTCCGTGTCGTTCTTCCAAATGCTTGTGCTGGAGTTCAAGGAGGTTCTGATGTTCTCTACATCCTCTTGGTCCAAAAATCATGCGGAAAATACATTTACTTCACTTACCTCAAGTCCACTCGTCTGTTCTCAATCAAGACAGAACATTTAAGAAAAGGAGTTGGTTCCAGTGCCGTTGTTGATATTGGACCAAAGCCACATAGTCTTCAAATTGTTCTTCTTGGAACTGACAATAAGTCTGGAGTCTTTATGAGATACAAAGGACAATCTGACATCTACATGTGGGATGCTGAGACGTGCTTTAAAGCATCAAACTTTATTGAAGTACAGCGAGGCAGTGATTGTCGATTAGCAACTCAGGTTATGCCTGGATATCGACGTCATATGTGGACTATTGAGAGCAACTTCCAGGATTATATTTCAGAGAGTCTTGGATGTGTTGGAGCTTCGATTGTTATTCATCCTGTTTTTAAGAATGATTAGGAGCTGTTGGGGAGTTGTTGAGGAGGTTTTGGAAGTGCTGTTGATTGTGATTGTTGTAAAAAAATGTTAAAAAAGTTTGAAATAAATTATTAAATTTTATATTTAAGCATTTTTGATTTTCTGAGTCTGGCTGTATGTCAATTCTCGTAAATTCTCGTCAAGTTTTGTCAAGTCTGTGCGTATCACTGTCTGGTTGCCTGTGTTGCTGTTTGGCTGTGTGGCTGTCCGGTTGCTAATCCATCAGTACTTTTAATTGCTAGTCCGTGATTTCAGGTAAGCATAATTCAGTGTTGCAGCCAAGTTACATTTGAAAGCTTTTGAGTTCACTAGTTGAAAGCTTTCCAGCAACGTATTTTCCCGCCAAAATTCAAATAGTCGACACTGGAGTCAAGCTTTTAATCAAAAGCTCTAAAAGCCGGGCGGTTCATTGACAAGACTTAGTTGAAACTGTGCGAAAATGATTTTTCTGATTATATTAATCTATTATCACGTCTACAGCCTTAAAATCCACCAAAGTCATCAGCAATTAAAGTTGCACAATCCACAAAGCACACCAAGCCACGCGCCCTTCGAAATTCTCTCCCAATTCTCTCAATTCCTCTCCAAAATCCCCCCGTAAATACACAAAATCGTCTCCACACCAAAAAAGTTCCAGCTCAGTGCTCCTCCGTTCGTTGAAAACGCAACATCACGTTCCGACTTTTCTTCACTCACTCTCGAATAATAAAAAAAAGTTTTTTGTGTTTTAACATTTTTTCGGTTCAAAAGTCGCTGAAAATCTCAATAAAATTGTGATAAAATTGTTCATTAATGTCTCGACATCAAACTTAATAATTTGTGATAAAATTCTAAAATGCAGAAAAATCGAAAATAATTAAAAAAAAAATTACATAAAAAGTTTGAATTTATTTTTTTCGTGTGTGGAGAAGTAAATTCCGTAAGTGGAACTGTTTATAAAAGAAGATATATCGAAGTGTTGGCAATAGAAAAAAAGAAAAAGAAAAAAAAATAAATAAATAAAATTTTAGTGTAGTTGAAAATTGAGCTCGGCAGATGCAAATAAGAAAAAAAAATTATTAGTTTGAGATAACAACCGCGTCGACTGTTATCATCGCTGCTTATTACTTATTACTTATATTTGATTGTGTGTCGCATCCATATGTGTTATTCAATAGATGATGATTGTCAGTGAATAAAAAAAAATTATGCTTATTTTTGTGCTATCTTGATTTATTGGAATATTTTTTAAGTGCCGTATGTATGCCTATAACTTGTGTCTATGTCTATGTATGGGGATTGTCATTTACAGCAATTGAAATTCAATTAAAAACAATTAAAATTGACTAGATTCGTGGAATTTAATCGAGAATCTATGTTAAAAAAATTGGAAAATTTCAATATTTTTTAAGAAAAAAATTTGACTTTTTCAATGATTTAAGACAGTGTTGTCTAAACTGTGTGCCACGGCACACTTGTCTGCCACAGAAATTTTTGAGAATGATGCAAGCCGTATGCTATTTGCGACTTTGGTCATGGCATCCCCCTAAAGGGTGCCGTGGCTCAAAAAAGTTTGGACAGCGCTGATTAAATAGCTTAGAGCTTAGCTTAGGGTAGGGTGACCATCTAATTTTTATGAAAATACAGGACATTTGATAAATTTCCTAAAAAATACAGGACACAAAGGAAAATTTGAAAATTAACGGAAATTTGCGTGAAAAAAATACAGGACCTGGAACAAAGTTTTCAAACGTATACAGGACAGGGTTTTGAAATACAGGACTGTCCGTTGTAAAACTACGCAGATGGTCGCCCTAGTTTAGGGGTTAGTTTAATTATGACGTCTGAAATAAACGGTCATTTTTCAAAAAAGAATTATGGATTTCCAGGAATTTCTATTATCCTTTTCTTGCTGACCCCCCACCCCCCCCTCCTTCCCCCTCCCACTGACGTCATAAGTAAATGGCCCCTTATCATTATCTTGTACATCAGTGGTGCTCAACCTTTATTTTGTCTCGGCAAACCTTAATAGTAAGCAGGCGCGTATCCGAAGGGGGGGGGGGGGGGGAGGGGATTTTGGGGAAAAAATCCCCCAATGTAAACAAAAATTTCTTTATTTTGCTAAGGTTTTTATGAAAAAATCACAAAACATCCCCCCCCCCCTGTTTGTCCCCCTTCTTCAAATTCCTAGCTACGCCGCTAGTAGTAAGCTATGACTGAAACCACACACGGCATACGGTTAATGGCATTTTCTGATTTTTATTTTCGAGAAACAAAGGTTGCCCATCACTGCTTTAAGCCAGTGTTTCTCAATTTTTTTATCCCACGCAGCAGTAAAAGTGCATCCATTCATGTTTGGCAACCACTATTGCTTTCTGACTTACTTTGCTGCCCATACAGATCAATTGTGATCAATGGCTTCTCTTAGATGGCGCCTGAAGCTGGCTCTATTGCTGGCTACCGTTTGTCAATTACCAATACCAAATGCAATACTACCTCTGTAAACAGCTTCTTTCCAAAAGTTCTTGGAAGGGCAACCACTATTCACAGATCTTAAAAAAATTCAAAGTAAAGCTCCGCGGTCCATAGTTTGAGAAACACTGCTTCAAAATCACTTCATAGCCAATAACACAATAATCATTCCTACCCCAAAAATTCCAAATATATAAAAAAAATCCCAAAACTCCACAACTTACACAATAAAATCACAGCCGAAAGCCTTAAGACAACCACAAACATGCGGTAAACATCTAAGCACGTCCATTCATTCAATTCAACATTGTATCGGCTTATTCAATATTCTTTTGTGTTCTATTCTAGTTAAAACAGTTCTCCTTCATTGCTATACAGACACAATAAGTCACTCGTATGGACTCGCTGATTCTAATTTAATTGTGACTTAATAGCAAATGACAATTGTGCATTTAATTGAATATCAATAATATCAATGACTTATGAAATTCTGTGCTGTGAGAATTGATTGTGAAGGTTCTTGCTGTTGTGAAAGAAGCTTTGTTTACAATAATTGTGATGATAAATTGTTGCATAACTTTAGAGCAGTGGAGAGCAACCTTTTTTGGGTCATGGTACTTCAAAGTGATAAGCCATGTTAAAGATTAAAAACAGCAAAGGGTGGAATTTTCTGATTTTTTTCAAGTGCCGTGACATATGGGTTGACCATCACTGCCTTAGAGAAAGTGGATAGCCTAAATTGCTCATTTATCTTTTGGAATTGCGTGAATTTCTCAATGTCAAATGGATCATGAATCTCTTTTGTTCTAATCTATCTAGACACTTAGTGCTATTAAAATGATAATAGAGGGCAATTTATAATAGTCACGGCATGTTATTAATGGTTTTTGTGCTTGTTGGGAGTCGGACAAGCTCCAGTGTTGAGTGGAATTGTATATAATCATCATTTGGCTGCTGTTTAGGGGATCTTGAGAGGATTAAAGTGAAGTCGTCAAGGAAATACCAACCTTAGTCAGCTAAGTCGACGTCCTAGGCGATCAACTCAACATTTAGAGCTTTAATTCCTCTTTCATCATTTAAATAGCAGCAAATAGGACTTTAACTACAAACTATTCCTTGTAATACATCAACATTATTCATTTGAACCTTTGAACTCCGTCATTAGAATCTAATTAGCGCTCTTTATTCTCCCTTGATGCTCCTCACATGTGCTTAATTTCTGTATCTATGAACTGCCATATTTTTTTTGCTTCATTATTTTCTACATGATTAATCCGAACTGACAGGATAAATGGAATAAAATATTTTTTTTGCAAGGCACATGAATGTTCAAGGTTAAATGTCTTTAGTTCATGGTCGTTGGCTGTGCTTAATTGATACTTTTTCGGGGGAATTTTGTATCTAAGCTGTCTGGGAGACGTGAATATTGATGAATATATGGCTACTTGACAGATTTGACTGTGAGGACGTTTGGTGAGAAATGGGAGTAAGGGGGCTGTGTTTTGTCGGGGGAGGAGGAGAGGGGTTAAAAATAAGTTATGTCCAATGTAAAAAAATTGACTGAGCGACTTGATGATGATGATTAGGGTTTTCAATCCCGCGATTACAATGTACTGAATCCCGGGTCTGATCCCAGGATTACATACATTTCAATCCCGGGTTTGAAACCCCCAATGATGATGGCTTCTTATTCCTCCACTATGAAGCGTAGGGCGTCCACAAAGAATTTGAATCGCGCTTGATTTTGAGCCAAAGCTGATATTTCCTGCAGCTTCTTGCTCTGTTGTTCCACCTCCCGTTCAACAGTTGTACGCAAAGTAATACCCTAATGCTAATAATTAGACAGGTTTAAAGGGACTCAGATTGACTCTACGACTGAATGTTCGAGTCTTGGACTAGTCTAGTCTAGTATTATAATCTTTACAGTTCCTACTGACTACTCAAAACATGAAATAATGGAGAAGCTTTCGATTTTATTTGCCTAGAGACAGAATTTGAACTAGCCATACTGTTTAAAGCCTTTAAACAAGTCCAGGACATCAATGGTGTGACATTAAATTTTAAAAAGGTTCTTAAAGCATGCCTTGGGGTTTGTGCAAACGTTTTTGATCAAATAAAGCATTCATCTAGTGTCTAAGCAGTTGGCAACCACTACAAAGTGTAAAACTTACTTAACAATTCAAATTGACATTACAATCAACATAATTTCATAACCTGCAATATAAAACCTAAACCATAATTACTGCGGCATTATAAATTTTCATGACATTTACACCCCCCCCCCCCCACCCCTCTTCCCCCTTCCCCCCCCCCCCCCCCCCCTATTTCTTCATTCTCTTAAGTGAATTTTCATCTCATTCTGAATCCGTTGATTAAAAATTCTAATCAAATACGTGAACAGAGGAAAAATTACATTAAATAAGAAAAAGACAAGCTTCCTTATGGCTGTACTCACATAAAAATTGTATCTTGTGTCTCGTGCTGAATGTCGAAACAGATTTTTTATGTCTTTATTTCACTTCCTTCTGTTTCTTATGTGTCGTCGACATGATCCGGGTTAAAGCTTGTTGAAGATGTAATCTTTTTAGAAATAATTTTATTTGTGTTTATTGATTTAAACTTTAAGATGGGTTTTTGGGGGTTTATTTGGAAATTGAGTCAGATGGGGCTGTTTATAAGTGACGTCTAATTTAAATGAGATTTTAGAAACACTCTCTCCAACTTTTGAAGAAAATTGACATAAAGATAATTTTTTTGTATCAGCCAAGGCGTGGAAACCTAGGATTAATCCTGAAAAATTCCAAAAATCCGTAAGCCAATAAACATGAAAATGTGAAATCCCTTTTAAATCCCTGATGCATTTGATTAAAAACTTCGGAATTTAAAAGGAATTTCACATTTTCATGTTTATTGGCTCAGGAATTTTTTTAAGGATTTTTGGGATTTTTCAGGATTAATACTCCGAATTTCCACGCCTTGGTATTAACCCGTCTCATTCTTGGACGTAATTTATGAATGTCCCCTAAGCAAATCAGCATTTTGGATATTCCTATGACTATAATTTAACTTTTAAGGCACTTATCTGAATCTCACAAGTCGGTTAATCGATCAGATAACCGATACCAAGCCTGTGTGACTCTGGCATGGTGCTGGATTTAAATCGGAGTCAACACCATGCCAGAGACATGACTGCTTCGGTCTATTCGATTAACCGACTTGTGCTATTTGAATTACTAAATTCAATTTGACTCAAACTTAGTACAAAACACCCTAATCTTAGACTCTTCATACCTATAGCTGAATATCATCACGAAAGCCTTCAAAAAACCCACTCAACTGCAGCTCTCATCAGGCGTGTAGCCATAAGGATCTTGTCCCCCCTTAAACGTTTTAAACCACAGCGAGAGCACGGTCTAAACCGCTTAAGAGGGGAACAAGACTCTCCTGGCTACGCGCCTGGCTCTCATG